CCTGCAAGAAAACCTGTTGTGACCCTACATCATTCAAGTGAATTTTCCATGGTAGCCATAGAATAAAGCTGGAGATATTTCTAATTCTGATTACCAATCAGTACAGCCACTAGCAGTTCATTTCAAGAACTGATCTTACTCAGATTCAGTCATGGAGTGATCACAGTGTTTTGGAATACATGTACAGTATGTGTAAAAAAGACAGTGGAAACAGCAACCAGAATTATTTTTGAATGTGCCAGATGGAGTAAGCAAACTAAGAGATATCTATTTTGCTGTTTATTCTCTTTTGCACTCTGTAGAAGTATCTCTCTGTGATTTTATCTGAACATTATTTATTACAAAAATAGAATGTATTATGTAAATGTGAGTTTAACGTCATTTGATATGACGAGATAAAATATGATAAATATATAAAGAAGATTAATTACAGGACTTCCTATAAAATACAGTATACATTATTATTCTGGACAAAGAAAACCAAGGCTGTATTTGAAGAGATGCAATTGAATGCATATATTAGATTATATTGTCATGCTAATTTGCAATGGTAGGAAACAATTAGGACTAGGGCTTCAACACCAGATTACAGTGCATATTCACTGGTATACCTCTCTTGCTCTACTGGTTTTTGTACAAAGCAGATAAAAATGAAATATGTTCTTTTGAAAGTCCATACATTTTGAAAGATTTTGAGCCAAACCTTGTTCATTGTGCTTTCATAAATTGTTCCACAAAAGTTACCAGAACTACTTGTGTGAGAAAGACAGATTCTGGCTGTAGGAAATATATGTGGCTGCCTTAGGTAGCAATTAAAGAAAAATACAAGATGCAAAAGACCTTCTTTCAATTCAAACTGCTGTTGTTTGAATAAGTGATGTCTGTAATCCGTTATTTGCAAAATCCTGGAAGTGAGATTTTCATTAAACGTGGTATGTCAATTACATATATTTCTGAACATTACACACATCATTTATCATTCTGGAATGAGGACCAAGTACCATATGAATGTGGAGTTTGTGCAGGTATTACCTCACAGCCCAGGAGGCTGATGACCCCTCTTTGTCTACACAGCAGGTAAGGCACACACAGTGGCAACGTGAGCTCCCTTTGCAGTCCCCTGCCAGTGTGCCTGACTGCTAAGCTGGGGGAACAAAGGAAAGATGACATATGGATAGCAGATTGTAGGAGTGCTGAAAGAGGACTGAGGAAATCTATGTTGGGTGTGTGGCTCTGCCAAAGATCTCTTGTATGACTTTGGCCTTGTCACTTAATCTCCTTCTGTCTCCCTTCCCCTTTACAAACAGGGAGAAGGCATCTCTCCTCTCCCCCAGGCTTTGCCTGGAAATCTGTTCAGACCCTGAGTTCTCTTGGACGGTGTGCTTGTGAAGCATGGGGTGGAGTAAGACTGAGTTTCATTGGGTCCTCTGACTGCTGCTATCATCCAAATAATAGGAATTACTATTAACAGAAGAATAACAAAGGAATCCATGTCTTGTTGATAGATTTTATTCATCTTCTCAGGCCATTCAATCTTTGGCCTCTGGGTGAAGGGTATGAACAAGGCAGGCAATTAGTGTCAGGAACAGAGCTGTGAATTCTTCTTTTATAGGGTTCCAAATAATGTTGGAAATAGTGGCATTGGTGTTCTCTTTTTTCACCTGTCTCTTAATGTCTTTTGAAGACATTTGTGCCAGATAGCATTCCAGTGTTTCTGCAATGCACAGACTGAAGTGCTGTGTAAAAGGCTGTATTTTACTTTACTTTGGCCCTGGAGATGCTCCCTGGGGGACTCAAAAAAAGCCCTCAAAAAACATAAAGGCTAGGGCAGTGACTATGGTTTCTATGTTTCTATTACACATTGTGCATATTTATGGGACAGTATAAGAAATAAATAATAATCTACAAACACTCCATTCTGTGCCCTTGTCTACCAGTTGTGCTGACACATTACTTGATGTAGCTACTGCTAATGAAACTAAGATCTGATTTTCACCTTCACCTAAGAAGTATGTCTGTTTAGCACCTGCAGTCCGCAAGTATAAATAATTTCATGTATAATTTTTCAGACATACCCTTTGGTGGGTATAGCTGATGCTGTTTATGCACAGGATTTTTCAGAGGAGCCATAGGAATGGAATTTGCAAATTATGTTGAGGCCTAGAGCCTCTGTGTTTCTATATCTTTCTAAGTGTAAGACAGTCTGTCTTCTCTTCAAACAAAGTTTTGTTAGTCTAGACAACATAATTTTTGCCTGCAGTCAGGGACATGGGCAAAAGAAAAATGGAGAAATAATGAAACTAGAAATCAAACCCAAGCACTATTTTTTACAATCATCACTGGACAAACGTGATCACTTTTAAAAATGTTTGTTTGTTTTTTCTGTAGGGTGACAAAGATCGGGGACTCACTATTAGGGCTTTAACTCCCATTTCCAAAATAACTAATGAATAGCCTCTATGTGGAGTTCACCCTGCAAGGCTGGCACTGCTCATATCAGCAGAGTAAAGTAAAGCCAAGACCATTTGGGAGCTGGGCAAGATTAGATTTTCAACACCCATCCCAAAAGGCTTACTCTGTGGTCGCCATCAAATATGTAGGGCTGGAGTGAAGTATCCCAATCCGTGTGCTCAGAGGTAAAGCAGTTGTCACCTGAAACCCTCCAGGACTTCGAATTTTCTTAATGCTCTGCCTTGTTGTGTGAGCCCATTGAAAAAAACACTTCAGAGGGCACCCATTTCTTACTAATGTAAACTTTCTGAGGAGTATCCAAAGCTATGACCTCTGGGTGAACCTTTAACCTTCCCCTTAATTATTTGTTTGAAGACAGTGTCGAGTTCTCCCGCTGAGAGCCGAGGCCCATAATGCTTCGCAGCCCTGCAAGCCGGGGTGTGTGTGCAGGGAAGTGGAGAGGGACATAAATAAGGGGACCACCAGATGTAAATAATAAAAGTGGTTGGGGTTTAAATAAAAAACGAAAAAGCAATTTGGTTTTCCTGAAGAGTGGCCTGATTGAAGAAAGGGGGTTAGTAAGAAGGAAAACGTGTGCGGGGGGTGTGGGGTGTTCCTGTTGTCTGTGATTTTTTACAGGCCTAAATAAGCGTTCATTCCATTCTTTAAAACCTTGCCATCTGTGTACACCATTAGAAGCTCATCGGAGAAGAGAAAACAGTCTTATCAGGCTTTCCCGTTAATCTCTATTAGCCTTAACTTTAGCTGATAAAAGGCGAGCTGGATGGAGGAGGTTCAGGTCAGGCTCCATTTGGTCAGCACGGTAACGCTACTGGAAAGTAACTCAGCAAATTAAGGGCTATCGGAGACCTTTGTCTTTGAGGGTGGAAATATGCCTCCAAATCCCATCATTGTGGTAGGAGATGCCTTCGCTACGCAGCAGTCAGAAGGGAATAAACAAGTACATCGGCTGTGTCTGAGTTTTTATTTTAATACCTGAAGTCATGACTAATTCTGAGGCAAGATGACATTTCTGACAACTGAATTATACTTTTCCTAAAGAATAAAGAGTGTCTTTTGGATGTAAACAGAGAGATGCAAAAGAGCCCTTTAGTGTTACTTGTAGCATTTATGCATCTGTCTAATGAAATTTCCACGACTGTGATTACGGAAGATGCAATGGAAGGTGTGTCACTGTCTTTTATTATCTGCGGAGGAATTTAACCGGGGGGCGGGAGGGAGCGAAGCGCAACAAAAGGCCTTGCAGAGCTGATGCTATATAAAAGGCTAGCAATTTACTAAATGAGCAGATGAACTTAGTTTTCATTTAACTGACTGAAAGACTTCACTGGGCGTTGGATCGGGCCCAATGGCAATTACTGGAGGCTGTTTTGGATGATGGGCATGTTAGTATTTCTGAAGAGGATTAAACACTAGTATTCGACTTCATTAGCACTCCTTAAGGGTCACCAGCCGAAAGCCTGAGCTGTGAAATAGCTCACAAAACCTGCACGAAAGCTCCAAAGTGTTCTCAAACACAAAGAGGGGGGACAAAAACAAGTGTGGCTCCTGAGTGATAGAAAATTGCCTTGTTTTGAAAGAAACTCAGTGAACAGGCAAGTTTTACAATTATTTTAGGAATATGAATTTGGCTTAGCTTGTGCCAATGTGGATCGCTGCGCATTAAGCTAATAAGAAATATGCAAGCACTTATTTTTTGATTACTAGCGAAATCAAATCCAGTCTCTGCAGCCAACTAACTGCCTTTACCAGCCCTCAAAAGCCTCTGCAATTGCCCTGGTTGGAGAGGAGGGGGAGGGGGGAAGTTATTTTGGCCCTAATATTAACCACATGTACCTGCGACCGGGGGGTTTCTCAGGAGTTTAAAGGTGGCCGAGCGCAGGGCGGGCGGTGGCCTTGCGCGGGGTGTCCCCGCTCGCCCGGCCGCAGGGGTCGGCCCTGGCTGGCACTGACCTCCGCACGACCCCCGTCTGCACCGGCGCCGGCTGCGGGAGCTGCCGAGGAGCAGAAGTCTTTCTGGGCCGGCACTTATTGCTGCTGCGCTGGTGATAAAACTTCAGACAGCCTAATTGATGGCTTTGCTGACCTAACGATACCTTGTGAAAGCACGGAGTGGCAAAGCCTGGTCCTCATTTATGGCCAGCTGCAAGGGTAGTTGGATCCCTAGGATGGAAAGAGGAAAAAAATAAAATCTCCCAGCCTGTGAACTCTAACCAGGTTCCAAACCACTCAAAGAACTTAAAGAAGAAATTGTCTTTTAACACAAGTTTTCGGTCACGTTTACTTGTTCAAAGCCTTCTGGCAAATCCAGCTTTAAGCAGACTAGGAAGATAAGCGTGTTACTGGTTACAATTTCTGAGCACTTAGAGGAAAATCCTTTAAAGTGAAATTAAACTCTTTCAAAAGCAACACGAAGCAAAACACGTTGCCGCGCCATGCTAAAATCCTGTCAGTTCTGATGCAGAGGTGTTCTCAAAACACAGAAGCAAGCTGATGAAAGGACTTCTATTCTTTGTATTCTGTTGCAG